GTCTCGCAAGTCTCGTTCAAAAGATTATTGGAGACTCTGCAAAAGCGTGCTAAACAACAGCAAACCCACAACACCCGCTTTATTCAACCAATTTGTGTTCCTCACCTCCTCAGCTGATAAGGCTGAATGCATTGCTCGTAAGTTCTCATACAATGTTTAGACAAGGCTATCTCTCTACATTCATCTGCAAACATATTTGTGCTTGGTGAATTCAATGCCTACGATATCAACTGGCTTAAACTCACTGTAAATGACATTCCTGGCATAAAAATATTTAACGTTTCAATCTCCCACAAATGGTTGACTTGCCTAAGCATTTCTCCACCAACCATGGTGGTAAGGCTTCCCTTCTTGATCTCTCTTTTACCTCCATCCTCGAGTCTTGTCGTACCATGCTGCACTCATCTCAATACCCACTTTATTCAATTAATTTGCGGTCCTGACCTCCTCAGCTGATAAAGCTGAATGCTTTGCTCCTAAGTTCTCATACAATTCAACGCTTGGCTCATCTGGTGTACTACCCACACCGGACTTCCCCCTTAAATCTGAGGCTCTACCGCTTGAGATGCACATAACCCCAACGATGGTATTGGGCATCATCTCTAAATTATACACCCATAAGGCTAGTGGTGGGGACAGGATATCGGCCATTGTCCTGAAGAAATGTGCTCCTGAACTGGCTCCTGTCCTCTCTAAACTTTACAACTACTGCCTCACCGACTCTTGCTCTCCAGCCTGTTGGAAATCCTCATCTGTTGTGCCTGTTTTAAGAATTCTTGTGACCTTTCCGACCCGTCTAACTACCGTCTTATCAGTCTTCTACCACTCTTCGGTAAAGTCTTCGAGGCTTTAATCAACGCCGAAGTGGTTAAGCACCTTACTACACATAATCCTCTCTTCGACAAGCAATAGAGTTTCCACTGGTCACGGTCATAACTGAAGTTTTATACCAAAAACTCACCAATATTGGAGAAGCTCGTGCCGTGGCTCTAGACATTTCTAAAGCGTTTGAGAGGGTTTGGCATGCTGGCCTTCTTCGTAAGCTTCAGAGATACGGTATTACAGGGCGATTATTTAACTTAATAGAAGAATTCCTGTCAAACTGTGAAAAGAAGTTCGTCCTAAACGGATACTACTCCGGCTCTTTTGTCATGAACGTTTGTGTTCCCCAAGGCTCTATCTTGGGCCCAGCACCGTTCCTGATCTTCGTCAATGACATTCCTGATGTCATCATTTCACAAGTACGCATCTACGCGGACGATACCACTATTTACACCTGCCTCAATAGGAAATCTGGTATATAAGCCTGGCTGCTGATCTCGAAAATGACCTCCAGTCTCTGGCTGACTGGGGCAGTAAATGGCTTGTAAACGTTAACGCCTCCAAAACGAAATTGTTCTCCTTTACACACCATAGAGAAAACTTCCTACCTCCCATCAGAATGGCTGATTCCCAACTCCTTGAGAGTGCCTAATTACTCCTGATTGGTCTTAAGCTGCCATCTGACATGAGGTGGAATAAATACATTGAATCAATAGCTTCATCTACCTCAAAGAAAATTCCATCCTTCAAATCTATAAATCCGTCCTTGCATGAAATATTGCTGTCATATATGGTCTGGTACTCCTGCTGTACGCCTGGAGGTCTTCGACAAACCCCAGAGATGAATATGCAAGATAATACGTCCTGATCTAGCATCTAGTCTACAATCGCTATCCCACAGACGTGTCGTTGCATCCTTCTGTCTCTTCTACAAGCCTTTTCACTGCAGTTGTTCCGTTGAACTACTTTGGTTGGTTCCCGGACTACTTGAATTTAAACGAGCTACCAGGCTAGCATTTCGGTCCCACTCTTTCACTGTCAAAATGGTTAAATATAAACGTCTATTCTCCTCAAACAGCGTCTTCTCCTCTTCACTTCATGTCTATGGAAATCCCTTCCTCTTACTAGCTTCCCCGATGACTATAATCTACAAATATTCCAGTGAAATGTAAATCGACATCTGACACCCTGAGCTTCCCCGTCCTTCTCTCTATCCTTTCCTCAAACATGCCGCTTTACTCTTGTTCTTAATCCTCTTGAGTGCTAGTGGCACTCCTGCATTGCTCGGGGTGAACTGCCTTAAAAAGAATCGTAAGCTGGTGTCTGGCCTGTTATTGGTACCATGGGGATGGCCACGTATTTTAGTTGTGTAAAATTGTTATTCAATCTCTTCCTAATGTTTCCTCATCTGTAAACAAGACTGAAGAGAAAACAACAGATCTACGTTTTATGCAATGAACCATCGACAAAATTTTTCCGTTGGTGAATGATCAAAGGAGAAAACACGATACTATGAGATGTATGACAAGCTAGGTCCACGACGTGTGCTGATACCTGGATCGATCCTACAGCATGTAGAATGTGTTATTCGTGGCATTGCGTACAAGTTGATCTCGGTCTTCCTCGATCAACAGTTTGTGGTTCCAGGGATCCTGTCTCAGCAACATGATGACAGACAGCGGCAAAGGTTGGAGGACTCGGCAAAACGCAATCAGATAGAGCCATGCAGCCTCGTGTCCATTACTATTCGCACGGCCGTATTTAAAAGTCACATTCATGATACGAATATCCTGGCATTGTTAAACAGAACACTTCTCGGTTAACTCCGTAACATACACTAACCAAAAATGTACACGAATGAAAAAGGTAAACTATTCTACATGTGGACACCACGCCATCTGTCGTAATCCTTCTTTAAACTTAATAATTGAAAAACGAAGGATTTACAGATCTAAGCTTATATTGATTCTTTTCTTTGCTGTGGTGAACCAGCACTAAAGTGTATTTTTATGATTATGTTTTACATTCATTCCACTAATACATACTTATGCACACACACACGCACACACACACACACATACACATATATATATATATATATATATATATATATATATATATATATATATATATATATATATATACGTGTTTCTGTGTGTGATGTGAGACGCTCCCTTTTGTTTATATAATGGTATATTTACTAATTTTCGTCTACCATCCTGAATATCCGAGAAACATCTGTTATAGTGAAACACACCTATTCTATTGTTAATAGAATCTCCCACCTATAATAAGTGGGAGTAGCAAGAGTAACAAGTCAGTCGGCAGTGAGTGGGTCGGTCAGTCGATGTCGGACGACAGTTAGTCGGATACTAAAGTATCAGCCACCACAACTAGATTACTGCGCCATTACCTATTATATCAAGTACATAACGTTTTGTACGTCGAACCTATTTTGGGACCGACAGTACAAATACAAACCTCCACTGTGAAACCACTACATCATAATATCGTAAGAGGAAAAATGTCATTAGTGCAGGATACGAAACTCTGTCCCCACTTCTCAGGATACGAAACTGTGCCCCCACTTCTCAGGATACGAAACTGTGCCCCCTGCCTTTCTCGGGAGAAACGCTTGTTGGATCCGACCTGAGCATGCTTTAAACCTTCACGGCCACGAGTGTTCGTAAAAGAAAATCATTCCTACAATTATAGTTACATACATAAAAATCCATACATTCTGTTAAAAATAAAAATCATTCGTGATAATAGCTAAAAGAACAGCTGTAACGTTCGGATATGCAGAAGATAAGGATAAATTAAATTATTCGCTCTGATTTACCATTGAGCTCTCCGGATTTCATCCGCCTTGCGATTATCCATACGGATACCAAGATTTTCATTACTTATATATATATATACTTCGTGCCTATCCAGACGACTTACGTTACACCGATCCGAACATAGCTCCGTTATTACTCATTTAAACATACACACAGACTCCATCAGAAAAGTGCTAGTAGAAGATACAAGCAGAATAATCTCATCCACTTGTAAAAATGATTAAAAATAATGGAAGGCATAATAATAAAAAAAAAGAAAAAGAAAAAGCCAACACTTAGTAATATTAACTAAGAACACGCCCACAATGTACTGACTGTGTTCGGAAAATAAAACATCCCTTTAACTCTAGATACATATAAACACAACCCATAAACCCAGTTAAAAAATAAAATAAAATCATCCTTGATAATGGCTAAAATTATAGCCGAAAGCGCTCGAAATTACAGAACATTTGGACAGTTTCTACGCACTCTGTGTCAAGAAAAAACACACTTGTTCGAGCACAAGAAAAATGAAATAAAAAAAAATTAATCGTATTACCTTATGTGTCGTCTTTAATGGAACATGTATAAAAAGGATTCCCCATATATATATATATATATATATATATATATATATATATATATATATATATATATATAGATAGATAGATAGATAGATAGATATAGTGGGGGACAGAGGAGATAAATGTGTGGATGTAGAATTCAACATTGAATAGTGACTGGTGCTCCGAATGATCATGAGGCTATCGTCTTTTGTTCGATTGTGCCGTGAAACTGGCGGTCTGTATGAACAGTCTGTTTACATCTGCACTCATTTTATAACTGTGTTCGCCATCCATTCCCTATTTTGAGCCCTCTTCCTTTATAAATATTACAAATTACAAACAATGACGTATTTCATAATGCATGTATAGAAATAGCGAGGCAAAGTGGAATAAAAGAAATAGAAAAGATGAAGTTTTATCGTTTTCAACAAATGGATTTTAGCTATTCACGCATGCGCAATTAGTTTCCACGGTTTTGAAGCAGCGAAACAATGCTTGGACGGCCTCATGAATTCCAGTGCCAATTTCCTTGCTTATATCTCTAAATCTTCTCTGCATATTCACATGCAATGCTGAGAAAGTTTAATAAAATTATAAATAAATCGTTTCCGAAGTTAAAAGCAACCCCTACCCTTCATTTTCCCTTTGTTGGCTGCATATATTGATGAAGTTAATCGCATAGTTCTTTTTGCAAATCCTGTTGGTATAACTTGCTCCAACTTAAATCTATTAAGCATACGTCTCCATCTTTGGGAAAACTTTTAACTTTTACAATTCATACACCTAAATGCAAAATCCATTATTCTCTACAGATATAGATATGTTTATACCGCGCCGTTATGTCATGTACACCTTCGTCCCAGCTATTCTCTCTCTCTATCTCAAACATCATCATTATAATTGTCCGGAATTATTCATTAGAAGAGACTCGTTCACCGATATATGGTTATAATAACGCGTGCGTTGATAAAGCTTTCACGACCTGAAATCTGCTAAATCTTTAATTAAAATGTATATTAAATTACTCGCATACAGTGCTGAGTAATGTCATATTACCTGTGAATATACGACGCTTGAGACTCCATGATTAAGTACACCGACGTGGTTGAGTTGCTTGCTTCCTCTTAATATTTGAAGAGATACTCTAGCAGTTGTGCCCTAGCCGGTGATGCTAATTGTTACGAGACAGATAACAAAAAAAACCTATACACCTATCAGAACAAAAATTAGTGCTAAAATCAACTGGTGTAGGCAGAGATCCGTCAGTTGTAAAGATAGGTAATTAACTGTACGGTACATTGGTCTGACTTTCAATGATCGATGGCATACGATAACCGATGCAATCAGCTGCAACTGAAAGAAACAACCAATACTAATTAGATCAATATTGCGATTGGTAGTATCCCCTATACTAAAGAAGAAGGATGATAATAATAATAATAATAATAATAATAATAATAATAATAAGAAGAAGAAGAAGAAGAAGAAGAAGAAGAAGTACTAGTAGTCGCTACCGCCGCTTTTTTCTTCTTCGGTGGAGGCATAGCATATGATGGAACTTTTTGTCTCTATGGCAAGTTTTCTGTAAATATATCGTGACGCTGAAATCCGATAAATTTACTCGTATCTGCTGACGATTCTATGAATATCAGCCCAGAGTTTGTTTATTTATTTTTTATCATTAAGCAAATCACCCCAAGCAAGGGCTTACAGAGAGTGAAAGTAAGAGTAAAGAGGAGTGTTTGAGAAAAGGATAAAGAAAAGGACAGGGATCAAGGTCAAAGCATCTGAAGATGTCGATTGACATTACATTTGAATATTTGAAGATTATAGCTATCAGAGAAGCAAGTGATTGGAAGTTGACTCCAATTCTTGCAAAACTGTTCAACCGGTGACTGAAGGAGTAAGAAGCAGTTTCTTCCCAAGTTCCACAGTTTCTTCCCAAAAACAGCGCCTTTGAGGAACTGTCTTCCGACACAATGTTTTCAGAATCGCTACAATCTTGACTTCTCCAAGTCTAGAGTCAATCTTTATCTTTCGTGCATGACCTCATGAACTTCACTTCTTGCCTATTCTTAGACTCATACAACTCCATAAAGTAATTCCCTACATTGAGTGGCTCTTGGGTCATATAGTGTGTGAACATTTGTATTAAAAAAGAAAGAAAACAGATTGGAGTCGGAAAGTTTTGCAACTTATGTCCCCACTTCATCGCCGACAAGTGGTCAGGAACTTTTTTTTCTGATTGAATACAAATTTTGTCTGACACACCCCACTGTCATTATTTGTTATAAGAGGATTTTTCGCCTGGGGAAAATATGACTTTAAAAAAAAATGGAAAATAAAGTCGTTGCGACTTTGTGTCATTGCCTGACCTGCGTAGTTTAGTGGAAATTAAATCGTCATTTCACGCAGCAAGACACTTTCTAATTTTTTTCTCACTCTGCGCATTTGTCACGGGGCTTGTTTTTTTTTTTTTTTTTCTCGTCAGTTTTTCGTTGTTGGTAGACACATGTGTCAGCGTCTTCCAAAATAAAACTCTCCCGACCAGAGTTCATCGCCATAAACAAAGTCTCATGCAATTGTGACATTTCAGGTACGGACATTTTATATACCAACTGCAGGTGTACATTTCTTACTTATTAATTTTTTTTTTTTCAGTCTTATTTACCTGTTGTATCCAGTTTCGCATGACTTGCTCTTTTTTCCTCTCTTTCTCTCAAAATCTAATTTTTTACATCTACTGAGATTAATGGGAGCGTCCGCCAATAACATCTCTCGTTATTTCCATGCCGTCTAGAGAGTCTTTCTTTGTTTGAGTGTTGTTTAAGGATTTATCTTTTATAGATTTAGCTAAGAACAAGATAATATCCATATCGTGTAAAGTCGCCTGTGATTTTTCTATAAATATTTTCATGTCAATTGCTCGGATGAGTTCTTCCCCATAGTCTTTAGTCGTTATGATTTTAAGTAAAATACTAGAGTGTAGATGAGCTCTCACTAATTTGCAGTTGAGTTGGCTATTTGTAACCGTAAGTTTTATGCTAATAGTTTCCTTTTCTCGTACATTTCACTTGCGAAAGTCTCTTTCGATTCCATGCTTTCTAGCCAACTTTAATCTTCAAAAATTTAAACGCAATGTCAAACGCTTTCACGTTTTGCTCCTGAATACACTTCTCTTGTTCCTTAGTAAACTTTCTGTTTACTAATTCTTCCACACTCAGTAAACCCTTGTGTCATAGTGGGTTTAATGTCTTGCTTGGGGTGAAATTGATTGAAAAAACAAACGCCTTTGATTTAGTTATTTTTCTCTGGTTTTCAATAAGATAAAACGATGAAGATATAAACTATGGAATTCTAAGGCAGTCACAAGTTACAGAGAAACAAAAGAAAATAATAAAAAAAAACTGAGACAAAAGAATCGAATCCGAAAGGTTAAATAATTCGCGTTAAATAATCTAAAAACAATTCAAAAAAATGAAAAGTCAAAGAGAAATACTGTGCGTCCTACTGACAGAAGAGAAACCGAATTAATGTCATAACACGAGATCTGTGCATCAGTGCAAGCAAGAATCTTTGATGACGAGTAAAAAAATGTTAAAGAAAGTCTTACTGTTCAAAAATGTACGATAATGTTATGAGTGGGTGTGAACAGTAACACACATAGAACTGTTCAAAAACAAACTGTAAAAACAGCAACAAATATAAAACAACCAAAAGAGTAATTATCGATATTCTGTGCTTATTTCTATGCTCCCCACAAAAAAAAATCATAGGCTACGGCAGAGGCCAATTAGAATACCTTGCGAGATAAAAAAGAGCATGCGAACCTTTCTGTCACTATTTCTTCTTCTCTCTCTCTCTCTCTCTCTCTCTCTCTCTCTCTCTCTCTCTCTCTATCTATCTATCTATCCACACACACACGCGTGCACACACACACACACACACACACACACACACTATATATATATATATATATATATATATATATATATATATATATATATATATACTATTACATAATGATGAAAGACTCTTCGGTAAATCAATTGAGTTCTTTCAGTCACTGTGAGTTTATCTAAAAATAAATATGCTTAAATTAACCTTCATATATATATATATATATATATATATATATATATATATATATATATATATATATATATGTACATACTGAAAACACATGCACACACGCGCACACATACGGACGCGCACGCACACATATATATGTGTGTGTGTGTGTACGTGTGTATGCGTGTGTGCTTCTTTGTGTAATGTTGCTTAAGCTAAAAAAAGAATAATGCCGGCACCAGGCCTGAAGACAGTTGTTGATGTGCCCCTCTGCGAAGCGACAACCATAGTCAGCCAAACACCAGTTCGCGCCACAGATATAGTGATAATGCTTTAGTTGTTTAGGAAATAAAGTACAGGAACTTTGGTATATTTTTCATGTAAATTATTCTCACGCATAAAATACATAAATTTACCTATGTGCGCTCCTCGTGTTCCTTCAAATTAAAATCTAGCATCTCAGTGACGTTAACTCATATTCATATTCTGAATATGATGCTGAACAGAAGACCAACAGTTTGCAATAATTACAAATGCAGAAGAAGAAGATAAAAAGTATTTTTGATTCAAAGAGATACCGGAGACCATACACAAGTTTTGATCAGTGGCGACTTTTGAACATTACATCCACAGTCGGTAACGTTATTTCCGTTATGACATATCACGTGCACGCTGATCGAAGCCTTTCGAACATATAATAAACCAACGTATGATCACATCGTGTAACATAGAAAGTTTTCATAGTGTACACAAAATTCCATTTATCTTTGCCGTGGTATAGATTACTCGATTATTCATTAAAGAATCTCAATAATATAACAATGGGTGCAAATTTTACAAGGATATTAATTTTACTGTGAATCTCGTTCTAATCAACAGTCTTTCGAGCAGCTGAACATAATATTTCTTAATCTTTCTGCTTTTCATCAATTTTCTATCTTCTTTTATTTGCAGTGTCCCTTCGGGACGTTGACGATACAATTTATTCAAAGAAATATAAATTGAAATAGCAATAATCTATATCGATTCTAAGATTAATATAACGGCCTCTTGTAATATATATATTTTTTTTAGTTTCACTAATTTAGCATTGAAACAATAAACTTTGAACGAAAGTTGAAATTAATTGAATCTAAGTTCGATAGGCATATTCTTTTTTAATCGAACGCATCCCCACCAAGACAGTGTGTAAAAGAATTAGAAAACAAAACACATTACGAAGGAACTAAAAAAAAAAGAAGAGTAATCAGGAAGAAAATAGATGATGATTGACATTGCATTTAAATCTTTCAATATCAACGTTAGCCGGGAATTTTAGAGCCGGAAGAGAAAACTACGAGTAAAGAGACATTTCTCATGGAACAGTAATGTCTAACCAATTCAATTGTAAATTGATTAGACTTTCTGGCCAATCTATTCTACAGTAATCGGGATCATCGAATCCATGCAAACAATCCTCCCCTTAGCTGTATATTACATGCTTCACCTGGTCTATATACAGTTTTGCATTCAGAGGTTTCCTTCTCCTAGGCCAATTGTCACTCATGGCTATAGAAGACCGTCCTGCTATTTACCCATAGTTGGGGGAGAAAAGATGGATTGATACCTTCTCCGAGGCTGTGGGAAAAAGTGATGGATCCATAAATTTCCCAAGGATATAAGAAATTAGAAAGTAATTAACTCTACTGGAATTCGAACACGGCTCTAATGTGGCTCCTACGAATCTAGTACTGCGCTTAAATCCATAAAGTTAAGTTTGCACAACGAAGAGCTCCTCTGAACAGGAGTGCAGCTGCTTAAAGCGAATCACGTTCACGTATATTTTGTTTTTGTCAAATAAAAGTATTTTCTGTTGACGCCGAATAACGCGAAATACATATTAAAGTAAAACAAATGTCTCATTCGCTTACATATTTACAATTCACGGGGTATTGCATATTTTTCTTTCAGGTAAAGTATTTTTCATGTTACCTTTGTTTTTATTTATTTATCGCTGTGTCCTTCACTTTGGTTAATATTTGCTGTTTTTGTTTTTTGTTTTTCAATATCGCTTTCCTTAAGCATTTTTCTCTGCGATTGCTAACACTAAAATCATTCGTCCATTTTCCGATTTCTGTATTTTATTTATTACTCCCTTTCCTACTTTCTACATCCTCATCTTTCTTTTTTCCTCCGTCTTTCTCCCACCCTTTCCTTTCTTTCTTCCTTCCTTCATTCTTTCATCTGTCCGTTTTTCCATTATTTCTTCCTTTATCCCCTTCTTCCTTCCTTTCCTTTCCTTATGTTCTTTCTTTCTCCCACCTTTCTACATCTTCCTTCTTCCCTCCTCCTTTTTGCACGTTCTTTCTTTCGTCCTACTTTTTACATCTTTCTTCCTCCCCTTCATTCTATATCTTCTTTCCCTCTTCTTTAGTATCTTCCTTCTTTCCCTCTACTTTTTACATCTATCTTCCTCCCCTTCTTTCTACACCTTTCTTCTTTCCCTCTACTTTTTAAGTCTTTCTTCTTTCCCCTTCTTTCTATATCTTCCTACTTTCCCCCTTCTTTCTACTTCTACCTTCTTTCCTCCTACTTTTTACATCTTTCTTCCTCCCCCTTCATTCTACATCCTCTTTCTTTCCCCCTTCTATAGTATCTTCCTTATTTCCCCCTACTTTTTACATCTATCTTCCTCCTTCTTTCTACACCTTTCTTCTTTCTCCTACTTTTTAAGTCTTTCTTCTTTCCCCTTCTTTCTATATCTTCCTACTTTCCCCCTTCTTTCTACTTCTACTTTCTTTCCTCCTACTTTTTACATCTTTCTTCCTCCCCTTCATTCTATATCTTCTTTCCCTCTTCTTTAGTATCTTCCTTCTTTCCCTCTACTTTTTACATCTATCTTCCTCCCCTTCTTTCTACACCTTTCTTCTTTCCCTCTACTTTTTAAGTCTTTCTTCTTTCCCCTTCTTTCTATATCTTCCTACTTTCCCCCTTCTTTCTGATTCTACCTTCTTTCCTCCTACTTTTTACATCTTTCTTCCTCCCCCTTCATTCTACATCCTCTTTCTTTCCCCCTTCTATAGTATCTTCCTTATTTCCCCCCTACTTTTTACATCTATCTTCCTCCCCTTCTTTCTACACCTTTCTTCTTTCTCCTACTTTTTAAGTCTTTCTTCTTTCCCTTCTTTTCCTACTTTCCCCTTCTTTCTACTTCTCCTTCTTTCCTCCTACTTTTTACATCTTTCTTCCTCCAATTCATTCTATATCTTCTTTCCCTCTTCTTTAGTATCTTCCTTCTTTCACTCTGCTTTTTACATCTATCTTCCTCCCCTTCTTTCTACACCTTTCTTCTTTCTCCTACTTTTTAAGTCTTTCTTCTTTCCCCTTCTTTCTATATCTTCCTACTTTCCCCCTTCTTTCTACTTCTACCTTCTTTCCTCCTACTTTTTACATCTTTCTTCGTCCCCCTTCATTCTACATCCTCTTTCTTTCCGCCTTCTATAGTATCTTCCTTATTTCCCCCTACTTTTTACATCTATCTTCCTCCCCTTCTTTCTACACCTTTCTTCTTTCTCCTACTTTTTAAGTCTTTCTTCTTTCCCCTTCTTTCTATATCTTCCTACTTTCCCCCTTCTTTCTACTTCTACATTCTTTTCCCCCTACTTTTTACATCTTTCTTCTTTTCCCCTTCTTTCTTTCCCCCTTCTTTCTATATCTTTCTTCTTTCTCCTACTTTATATCTTTCTTCTTTCCCCCTCTTTTTATATCTTCTTTCTTTCCCCTTCTATCTACATCTTCCTTCTCCCCACTTCTTTCTACATTTTCCTTCCCAATTTTTTTTTCACCTTACTTTTGCCTCTTCTTTCTTTCCCCGTCCTTTTACAGCTTCTTTACCCCTTCTTTCTACATCTTCCTTCTTCCCCCACTTTTTTCTACACCTTCCTCCTTTCCCCCTTCTTTTTACATCATTTAATCTCTCTACTTTTTCTTCCGTACTCCCCTTCTTTGTTCCTACTTTTAACATTTTACTCCTTCCCTCCCATTCCTTCCTTCCTTTTTATATTTTCTTACTTTTTAACTTATGTCCGTCCCTTCTTCCCTTACTTCATTCCCCGCAGGCAGCCGTCCTTCCTTTTCTACCTTCCTTTTAGCATACGTTCTTTCATTTACCATGTTATTATTTTCTTTTATCTTCTTCTTTTTTTTTACGGATAA